ACCTGCCATCCGAGGAATACCCTGTTGGAAAACAAGGCCGCTCATTTTTGTTGGCTGGTTTTCAAGGGGTAAACACCCCCTCCACTTAAGAAAAAAAGGTTGGTAGTTGGCTTTCAAGGGGTTACCCCAACCATTTAAGAAAAAAAAGTAAGTTGAGGGGCACTTGGTAGCTGGTTTTCACGGGGTACGCACCCCCTCCACTTAAGAAAAAAAAAGGTTGGTAGTTGGCTTTCAAGGGGTTACCCCCTCCATTTAAGCAAAAAAAGTAAGTTGAGGGCACTTGGTAGCTGGTTTTCACGGGGTAAACACCCCCTCAATTAAAACCAACAGCTGACAAAAGAGCTGGTTTTCAAGGGGTAAACACCCCCTCCACTTAAGAAAAAAAAGGTTGGTAGTTGGTTTTCAAGGGGTTACCCCCGCCATTTAAGAAAACAAGTAAGTTGAGGGCACTTGGTAGCTGATTTTCACGGGGTAAACACCCCCTCCATTAAAACCAACAGCTGAAAAAAGAGCTGGTTTTCAAGGGGTAAACACCCCCTCCACTTAAGAAAAAAATGGTTGGTAGTTGGCTTTCAAGGGGTTACCCCAACCATTTAAGAAAAAAACAGTAAGTTGAGGGCACTTGGTAGCTGGTTTTCACGGGGTAAACACCCCCTCCATTAAAACCAACAGCTGAAAAAAGAGCTGGTTTTCAAGGGGTAAACACCCCCTCCACTTAAGAAAAAAATGGTTGGTAGTTGGCTTTCAAGGGGTTACCCCCTCCATTTAAGCAAAAAAAGTAAGTTGAGGGGCACTTGGTAGCTGGTTTTCACGGGGTAAACACCCCCTCCATTAAAACCAACAGCTGAAAAAAGAGCTGGCGTTCAAGGGGTAAACACCCCCTCCACTTAAGAAAACAAAAAGTTGGTAGTTGGCTTTCAAGGGGTTACCCCAACCATTTAAGAAAAACAGTAAGTTGAGGGCACTGGGTAGCTGGTTTTCACGGGGTAAACACCCCCTCCATTAAAACCAACAGCTGAAAAAAGAGCTGGTTTTCAAGGGGTAAACACCCCCTCCACTTAAGAAAAAAAAAGGTTGGTAGTTGGCTTTCAAGGGGTTACCCCAACCATTTAAGAAAAACAGTAAGTTGAGGGCACTTGGTAGCTGGTTTTCACGGGGTAAACACCCCCTCCATTAAAACCAACAGCTGAAAAAAGAGCTGGTTTTCAAGGGGTAAACACCCCCTCCACTTAAGAAAACAAAAAGTTGGTAGTTGGCTTTCAAGGGGTTACCCCAACCATTTAAGAAAAACAGTAAGTTGAGGGCACTTGGTAGCTGGTTTTCACGGGGTAAACACCCCCTCCATTAAAACCAACAGCTGAAAAAAAAGCTGGTTTTCAAGGGGTAAACACCCCCTCCACTTAAGAAAAAAAAGGTTGGTAGTTGGTTTTCAATTGGTTTGCCCCCTCCATTTAAGAAAAAAAGTAAGTTGAGGGCACTTGGTAGCTGGTTTTCACGGGGTAAACACCCCCTCCATTAAAACCAACAGCTGAAAAAAGAGCTGGTTTTCAAGGGTAAACACCCCCTCCACTTAAGAAAAAGAGTTGGTAGTTGGCTTTCAAGGGGTTACCCCCTCCATTTAAGCAAAAAAAAGTATATAAGTTGAGGGGCACTTGGTAGCTGGTTTTCACGGGGTAAACACCCCCTCCATTAAAACCAACAGCTGAAAAAAGAGCTGGCTTTCAAGGGGTAAACACCCCCTCCACTTAAGAAAAAAAAGTTGGTAGTTGGCTTTCAAGGGGTTACCCCAACCATTTAAGAAAAAAGGTAAGTTGAGGGCACTTGGTAGCTGGTTTTCACGGGGTAAACACCCCCTCCATTAAAACCAACAGCTGAAAAAAGAGCTGGTTTTCAAGGGGTAAACACCCCCTCCACTTAAGAAACAAAGGTTGGTAGTTGGTTTTCAAGGAGTTTACCCCCCTCCATGTAAGAAAAACAAGTTGAGGGCACCCCACTGGTCAACTCGTTAAACCCTCCCCCCTCCCCCCCCCCTTCCCCCCCCCCCCTCCGGGGCTCCAGGGCGTAGATCGCCTCCCACATGCCGAAGGCGAAAGGCCCCGGCCTCCCAGGCGAACGAAACCGCCGTTTTCAGCGCCAGAAGGACTCGGTTTTGGTTGCGTCTGACGTCGGTTTGGGCTGCGGATTAGCTAAGAAATTCCCACGCCCTGAGACTCGCCTTTTATGGGGTTTGAAGGACAAAATGGATCTTCCCACTTCAAGGGCTTGCTCTGCCCCCCCCCCTTCAACCATCTTCTGGAGCTTTGGAAAAGCCATTGGTTTGCGAGGGTCTAAGGGCCTAAATTGGCCTAAAGGTCAAACCAAGGACCAGCCAACCGAACACCTGATCCATTCAGAAAGGAATCTTCCTTGAAGTCTGGGACCCTCTTTCTCGAGTTCCACGTTGAGTTGCACCGAGTGATCCAGAGTTGTTTTTTTGAAGTCTGGCCAACCTCGTGACATGGCTTTCACCAGGAAAGAACACCTTTGACACCAAAGTGTGGTTTCATGATTTTGAGATGGACTTTATCCGCTAACATGCCAGTCACTGGCCGAGTTCGACTCGGCCATGTTTGGACCTGGTTCCATGCGTACAGAGCCTACTGGGGCCCCCGGCCCCAGGAAGTTCAGCCTCAGAATCACAGGGGGGTCGAATTTTCTAGTTCCCAGGCACAAGAACTCGAGGGCTTCTCTCCTTGCGGGAAATTTGGAGCCGACTGACCGTGCGAAACACGTCATGTCCCCCATGCTAGCCGCACAGGGCACAAGTTCGAGGGGCGCGGGGGGCGGCAGGAACTTGACGTCGGCGAGGTCCAAGCGAATGTTGGTCAACGCCCACACATTCCCGGCCTAAGCGAAGGACTCAGCCGCCGGGGCTCAAAGAAACAAAGAAATCCAACATGTGGTGGTCAAACATAGTGGCCCTGCTTGGGTGTCTTTGGAGGAACCCCCCTTGCCCCCATTTGTGAAGGAACCTCCGCTTTCCTTTCAGACTTCGGCTTGGCTTGAAGGTCCAGTTCCCATTTGCAGTGGAGCAATTCTATATACCCACCTCTCATCTCCAGAGCGATCCTGCATGAAACATCAGCCAAAATGAAGATTCCGGATGTTAGGAACAAACATGGAAAAAGTGAGCAGGGTTGACAGCATCCTTTGGTCTCCTCTTAAGGGGACAAGGGTCTGGTTCTTTGAGCATTCGCGCGGCCAAGGCTCCTTAAGAGGACCATGGCAAGAGGTCGTCACACTTGCAGCCGACTGCGAGTAGTGTGTCTGTTTGCACATAAAACGACTTCTGGCATAAAGGCCAAAACAAGAGGTTTACAATCAACTCCCAATCTAGACGTTAAATAGTGTCTACCATCAACCATCAACAGTTTGATAAAGGGCGAAGACAAAACAAGCATGTGGACTTATTTTGGGGGTTGACCATGCTTGGGGGCTTTCCCACTAAACCACAATAAGCAAAAATGTGAAAAGCTTCCCAACAACAACCATGCAGGTGCCAATGGGAACCCATAAAGGTAAGTCGATACAAAAATGGGGCCGAAGCTCCGAAGGAGTCTTCTCCTCCATTGGGGGCCAGGGATCGCCATCAGGAGTTGGACCTCAATATGGGGGTGTCTTTTTTGGTGGCTTTAAAGGAAACGCAAACGAAACACCTCTATTTTGGGGCTCCCCTAAAAAAGGACGCATCCATCTGTAAAGCGTGCCAAGATTCGGATTCCGTCGCCAAACAAACAAGCAAAAGGGGCCCAACATGGTCCATACAAGGTGTTCCGGGATACACCACCTCACGCAGATTTAGGTGTTTCCTAACAAAAATAGCAACGCCTAAAGCAGAAGGAGCCAGCAGCTCCTTTCAAGTGACTCTCCAAATTACCCTGCAAATGTTGATTTCACTGGAACCACCCGGACCAAACTTAGTTAATCCCTAAAAATGGTCAGCCCAAAGGGAACCATTCCTTTCGTCCTTTAAGACCCGCACGCACTCCAACAAACACCCTCATAGGGGGTGAGCATTGGAGCGGGCACCAAGCATTTGCGGAAACAAACCATAAACGCAAAACGAACCCACTTTGGGCTTGTTAAGCCTTTCTCGGGTTTGCAGGGACACCAAGCGGACACCCACCCCTATTTTGGGGGGGTCCAACAAACCCTAGTTGAACACAACCCCAATTAGGGTGTGTCTCAAAATAGGGGACCTCAACAAAATGGCAAGTGTCCTTTTGGCTTCCCAAACAAAACATAGTGGATTCCTCAAAACGGGCAACATTGTGGGGCGAACCCCAAGAAACGGTGATCCGAGGCGCGAAGAAAGCGGCGTTCGCCAGCTGCCAGCCCGCAAACTTGACCATGGCTCCGGGAAACCGCGGAAACTTCTTTTTTTTTTTTCCGGCGGCTAAAGGTGGCTCGAGGTCCAAGCTTTCATAGGACGGAACAAGCGGCGCAAGCGCAATGTGCCAGTCGAGGTCTCTCTCAATTTTCCCTGAGGTTGCGATATGGGGTGTGTGTTCTGAGGGTACCCTTTCGGGTTGGTGTTAAGGGAACCAGAAGGAAACCAACCGGCCCCTTGTGTCCCCAATTTCGAGACACTCCCATATCTCGTTCAACCTCTGCAAGCAAGCCAAGGACAGCTGCAAACCTCCCCCCAAACTGGCCTCATGCTTGCTCTGCATCAAAGAACCGCGCAGGACGCCAAAATACAAGACCCTACTACCATCTTTCCAACAATCATGGAAGCGGAAGGGAGGACTATTCAAGGACTGTCGTCTTCCTAAGCCCGCCCGTCAGATTCCATATGGATGGGTCAAAATTAAACCACCCGGGGACCTTCAGATTTTAGTCCATGTTTCCATTTACCAGGGCAAGCCATTTTGGGTACGCGTTTTTGACCCATGGCCATATTTCGTACCCTCTTTCCGGACGCTCCTAGCAACTCCAACTCCCCCACCCGTCCGAGCCACAAAACTTGCCGCTTCCTGGAGAAGCGAGCCACGCAGCCGTCTGCCTCCAGAAAACTGGAAGCCCTTTGAATTGGGCTGAATGTCCCAAAGTTGAAGTTTCACAGCTGAGAAGGTATATGTATGCATATATATATATATGTATTTGTATTTGTATGCTACCCCCCCCCTTGAAATACTCAGGTTTTTGGCCAGAACTGAGGTTTTTTGGCCAGACAGGGGGCGACAAATTCCTTGCGACTCTGAAATGAACTGACTGGACGCTCAACTCCATGCAAATTCCAACCAAGCAGAACTTAAGCTCAACGTTGAAGGAGCTGTGTGACCGTCACATTGGCGTGCGCGAAGTGCACTTAAAGTCACATTGGAGTATGCAAAGCTCACTTTGGCAGCTCCAGCTCAAAAAACACAACTGTCCAGTACAAGAGTAGTGCGCGAAGTATGTTTTGGCAGCCTCAACGCGCCAGTAGCAGCTCTACTATTGTGTGTTTCTTATTTTTTTTGGCAGCGAAACTCAGCAAATCATCAACTTGGGGAAAAGGAACTCATTCCTGCTTCATGTCCTTGCGCAGTTGCATTTTCATGTTAACTCGAGTGTTGTGCAGAATTCCACGTATGCTAGTTCAGTCTATTTGAAACATATGTTGCAAAGCAACTATCCCATGTGTGTGTGTGTGTGTTGCTAGTCTAACTTGGTTCAATCATCGCCAATAACAAGCATTGAAATTCAAGCAAGGGAAGGATATCCAGTTTAAAACGCTTTCGAGTTCAAACCAAACTCAAGTTTACTCGTTTGGAGTTTTTTGTGCATTTCAAACATCAACTGGAGAAGATGGCTATTGTCCGAATCGAACTCCATGTGGTTGAGCCAGCAAGAACTGAGCCAAGCCAATGCCTGGAACGAGTATTCCAGGGGGGGGTACCATATATATATACATATATATATATATATATGCTTCCCGATTGTTCATGGTGGAGTCACGGGGCAAAATTATCTTTTTCGTTGTTGAAACCGGCTGAAGGATCGGCGACATGGAGTTGGTCTCCACTGGGCGGCTTTGAACTCGATTGCCTCACGAGCTTGGGTCAACCTGTTGCATAAACCCGGGATTGCTGAATCAGAAGACGGTTTCCATGAAGGAACCCAGGTCTTCTTGTTTCCCCGACCACTTTGGCGAGAGCCTCGGGGCACACCACGACATGGGGCAAGCTGCGCTTGGCTTAAGCGCTAGTGGTGTGTCAGGCTGCATGCAGGCCACAAATGGTCATGTTGCGGGGCATTGTTTATTCAAATGCCATGATTGCCGCAAGCTGACCAATAAAGGTGTGATACTTTGACCGCCATGTTACCCAGCACCTGTCAGCGTATTCTTTCAACCACCTTTCCTAAGCCAAGAACATCTCAGGCAGCTGCATTCCTCCCTGGCCCTGCAAAAATGTGAACGGCTGCCCCCTTTTTGATCACCTTGAACCATTCAACCCAATTGAGTGCTATCTGCCATGACCCCTGGCGGCAGGCTCGGCTCTTATTGTGAAGAATGTGCCACCTTCTGTGTAACTAATGGCAGTCCGGCCCAGGATCAGGATGATAAATCACAATCATCCTCCAATCCTCATCACCATCTACCTTCGACATGCCAAGCGCCTTTTGATGTACTGCAATCAAGTGGGTTTACATTGCAACAAAGGCTCCGGATCCATTTCCCTTCACATGGCAAATGCCGGCACTGTCACCTTTTGGTGCCAAAGACTTCGGTCCATGCACCCCTCTGTTGCTTATATAGCAAAGAACATTGCAGCAAGCCGACAGCCCGCATCGTTGCCGTTGACCACTCAAAGTGAAAAAACATGTGTTATCCCTCCTGGAAGCATGCCATTTCCAGGAAATGGGGGATCCATGTGTTATCTGATTCGCTGGCACCCTTTGGTTTTGTGGGTGGGACCCGTGCCTCCCGCTGGGACACCGGCCGCGGCCAGGCCACACGTCGGCTTCCGACGCGCAGCGCCTGCGCAAACGCGGGCGAACCATCGTAGCTTTCTGAAAGCTGGAGGGGCCAACAAAACGGGCGATTGTTTAGGGTTTAGGGTTTAGGGTTGTATTTTTACAGTTAACCTCGTTCGAATTATGCAGACACTACTGGTTGTGTCCTAAAAATGGGAGGTGGGAATCCCCCTCTTGGGAAAAGACATGACGCATGCTCAACCAACATTTGCAAGCGGCGCCCCTGGAACACGCCCCTCTGGTTGGGTGTCAAGGGCAACCAAAACGAAGCTGTCATTCTGAGAGACGGCCTAGGAGGAGTGGCGCGTGTTTGAAGTCTCCTGGTGCCTCAGGGTAGCCTCGAAGTCAACCCCACCCCCCACCCCCCAGCCACACCCCCTAACAAGCGGGGGGGGCCCTATACTTGACATCCCGGCCATAGTCGCTTCTGGGCCGTGCATTCAAATGTCCAGAAACTCCGAGCCTCCAAAAGTCTTCAACCTGGGTCGCCTGCAAGTCAAGGGGTGTCCTGGGCAGCAAGAAGCCACCCACGCCCCGAAGCAGTGGCTCATAGCCAGGTTTTGTATCATGCCCCAGAATCTTCTTGCCCTCCATGGGTGGATTGCATTAGGATCTTCAAGATCCGATGCGCAGAAACACACTTCTGCTCAAATCCATTTGGGGGAGCCCCATTTTGGATCCCAGGTGAACTTGCAGTGGGCCCCCAAGAAAGAAAGAAGCAAACATTGTTTTCCTTTGAACCAACCCAACAAAAACGGCCTCAACCAGAAAGCCACGGACGCGAGCAAGAGCGCACCTCCGCCGAGGTGTCCAACGTGACCTCGTCCGCCGAGCATGCGGGGATCGACAGGACCTGGAGCTGAGGTGACCCTTGGGGGCACCGTGGGCCCAGGGGTCTGTGGGGGGGACTCTTCGGAGCTATTTGCAAAAAACACAGTGGAAACTTATCTTTTTCAGACACCCAGCATGGTGGCTGTCGTTTTGGCTTCATTTCACAACATTTCACAAGGACGAAGAAGGGGTACCCGTAGAATAGGAAGATGTATTGCGTGGAATAATGTGCACTGACATGAAACAAACTTGTTCCAACGAGTCTCATACAAAATAGTTCAAGGTCGGCCCACCAACACCCAACAACTGTTTTTGCCATTTCCAAAAAAACCCACATGCTGCCCAAAAAAGGCAGTTGTTGGCTGGGAATCCTTGCTTCACTCTAAGGTTGGGGGCAACAGGCGGTATTATCTGGGGGGCTGGCTGGGGCTGGCGGTCACCGTTGGCCAGGCTGGGGGTCACCGGCCTCGCTCGGACCTGGGGCTGGCGATTCGGTGGTAGATTGGGACTTGCTCGGGGCTGGTTCTGGGTGAGCTTGCTGAATTTGTGATGAGAGCAGGTCTTCGGTCTGTTTGGGGTTCATTCAGCCTGGACATCAGCCCGTTGCCAAGCCTATATGAACCCGCAAACAAACCCAAAACCTGCCACCAATAAGGGATGCTGGCGCTGCCTGGCTAGCCAACCAACAACCAGCCAGCCAGCCAACCAACCAGCCAACCAGCCCACCAGACTAAATCAAAGCCCTAACGCCAAGTAACTGGGGATGCTGGGGCTGCCAGGCCAACCAACCAACCAACCAACCAACCGACCAACCGACCAACCGACCAACCGACCAACCGACCAACCGACCAACCGACCAACCGACCAACCGACCAACCGACCAACTGACCAACCGACCAACCGACCAACCGACCAACCGACCAACCGACCAACCGACCAACCGACCCACCTGTCCGGGCTTCAGCCCCTGCCAGCACGCGTAAAAAGGGATCCAAGATGGCCTGAACAAAAAGTTCCGCCCCAACATGCAAGCGACAAAGAAATGCACCATGTCTCCACAGCAAACATGTTTCGTGACCAAAAAACACTTCTCTGCAATGAACCAGCATTGACTCCAGAAGAGCTTCCAGGGTAGTTGGCCTCTTCAAGGGCGTTGCAAGACTTGATTCAATCATACATTGCGTGTGCTTTTCCGCAAGGACAAAATGCCAAAGTCTAGAAAAGGGTACCTTTCAAAGAAACATTCCAATCAACCCCGAAACAGACCGCGCATGGGTCATGCCAAAGTCCTAACCAGCTGGAACAGCATCTGCATGCCTCGATCCATTGCGCGCTACATCCGCATCCACAAATATCCTCACTTCGGAATGCTCTGCTCCTTCCTCACTCTCTGAGCGGCCATCAAGACATATTTGCAAAGCAAACCATCCGCCACGGTCCGCCTTCCGAGGCCCCCCGTACTTCCGAAGCAAATCATTCATCTTCTTGTCAACTCCGGTGCCCGCGCGTCCGATGCCTCTTGACTAGTGAGCATATTGCCTCGGATTCCACTGGTCGCAGCATAGAAGTTTCAGGGCATCACATGAGGGGCTTAAACCAAATCTACCCCTTTCTCTTGCCCCCAAACACAAGTTGCTCGATGATGATTCATATGTTTTTTAGCAAACCTTAAACACACTTGAGCGGACTGGCCAAAAAAAAAGCAGATTTGTTTAAATCTACCACGTAAACGGTCTGTCCAAAAAGCTTAAAGAACTCAGGGAACTTCGCTTATTAGATTAGATTATATAGATAGATAGATAGATTAAATAGATTAGATAGATTAGATTAGATTAGATCAGATCAGATTAGATCAGATCAGATTAGATCAGATTAGATTAGATTGAGATGTGTATATATATATATATACATATATTTGAGAGAGAGAGAGAGAGAGTCTGAGAGAAAGATGTATCATGACATTCATCAGCCATATGGATGTTGCCTTTCGCTTTCTCGTTGCAGTCATGCTTTCCGGCGCCCCCCCATCCCCCTTTCCATGGCTTCCCGGCCCAGGCATCCTCCTCCCGGCGCCAGGCGACCTCCTCGAGTGGATCCGTTGATCCGTTCGTTGCAACCGACGACCGAGAAGGCAACGGGGGCGGGGCCAAGGGTTTCAGGGCAGTTGGGAGCCCAAACCACAAGGGGAAAAAAGAGGCGCGGAGCAAAGGCGGAAAAACCAGGTGGGCTTGGGTAACTCTGTGTATTTTTGAGGCTCAGCACCCTGTTGTTAAGGTTGGTTTAGAGGGACACCAGAAGGAAAAGCGCCATTTTTATTTTTTGCCCCTTCCTCGAGCAGGATCCTTCCTTTTCAAAACTCAGCCAGAATCGGTCGGACAACTGCTGGTTTTGAAAGGAATGCTGGTAAGAACGAAGGGAGACTGAGTTCAATGCGTTCAATGGCACCTTGAGAATGCCTTTTTGCTTGGTGGGTTCCCTGCAACAGTGCTGGGGACAAGGGGAACAGCGGACCATGTTTAGAGGGGGAACCCACCAAACATAAAGGGTAAAACAAAATTGTGGAATCCACTGAACTGAAGTTCAAATCAATACTAAAACCCTACTATGGGGTTGTAGGCGGTTTACAAGCAAAACTCACGGGCCCTGAGTACTGAAAAAGGTGTCATGGGTGTGTTTAAGTGTCATGGCTCTGTTGTGACAATGACGTAGTTGGGTTTAACAATACCCCACACCCCCGTTTCAACTATGATTCACACACCTGACATCCGGAATTCCATAAGGGACCTCCATGGGTGAGCCCCTTCTGTTTTGAGGTGAGAACGCTACCTATACCCTCGCTTTCAAGGGCCTTCATTCGCAGAAAGTCAACCCAGCCTTGGTGCGCCACTCCCGTGCCAAGAGTTGAACCTCGCATAAATGCTTCCAAAGTCCAAGTTCGCCCAGACATGGCCCATGCAAAAAACACCGAACACATCACAGGTTACAGTTTCAGCTTCGTTTTTTTACCGCAAAGGATGTGTTGAATCTTAGAATTTTAAGGGTACGGCTGCAGGGACCCCCCCCCCCCCGCACGCCTCGGAGCCCACAGCTACGCCCACGGGCTCCAGCGCCGGCGCCGGCTCGGCCTGGAGGAGGCCATGGGTCACTTGCTGAGTGGATGGCCACAAAAAGTTCTCAAACTTTTTGTCTTAGCACTAAAATGGTCTTCCCAAGTTCTCAAACCTTGTATTTTTTCCCACTAAAATGGTCCAGAATAGGCCCCAACAGAAATCTGGCTGTGGCTCAGAATCCTAATCGTCCCAGTGAACATCAACCAATCCCCACTAAAATAGGTTCTAAAATGCACCTACCCCAAGAGTCAACACAAATGTGGATGTGTCTTCTTGTAGGCCCCCCCGTCCAACAAAAAAGGCGGTGTCCCTTTGGCTGACCTTTGAAAACCGCAACAAAAGGATACCATTTACAAAAAAGACACTTGGGTTAAAGGGGGCCCCCAAAAACGAGGGTTTCCTTTCAGCTGCCCTTGAAAAACCGCAAGGGGTAGCCGAGGGCTGGGTTTTCCCTAGGGCTGGTTTTCCGCACTGGCAACATCCCCATCGCCAGCCTCACTTGGCCCGGGGGATATCCTATTGGCTTTGACTGGGAGGTGGTCAAAAAAAGACACTCTTATGACCTACTGGCCATGAGAACGAGTTGTTGCCTCAAACGGCGGTGTTGCGGCGGATGCTCGGATCATAGGTTCGTGACCTTTTAGGAGAAATCCGCTTCAAGGCGTGTGATTGTTTGTTTCACTTCAAGGAAACTAAATTCTTCGGCACTGGGTGCTGTCCGAATGTTCCTTTGAGCCAGCAACATCACGGTCATGGCTCAACATCTTATAGGGTTCGCAAAAAAGCCCCCCGATTTCAAGCCTTCACCCTACCAAAACAAACTCACATGTTTAAGACCACGAAAGAAGGACACAAAGGAGTCCCTGTCTTATACTGTTGTTCTGAGCCGACGTAGCTGCATAATAGACTAAAAAGATATCCATCCCTTGTGGTTTCCTTGAGAGAAATCTCCAACCCACTGGAATGAACCCTGACAGAAGGCTGCGACATACAACTTGTCCCTTCAAAGAAGGGGACCATTCCAGCAGCAGAAAAATCTAACTGGTGAAGCAACATGTCGCGTTGGATGTTGGACTCCGTCGCCGTCCGCTTGGCTTACCCAACGGGGCCACCCCTCGGGAAAGGATCCGCTCAGCCCAGCGGCATCCTTGGTGACCATATCCGCCCCTTGTGCCCGATGTATCGTAACTCACATGTGACGAAAATCGGAATCACAGGTCAGAATCTCACAAATCCGATTTTCGACTCCCTCTCACAAATCAAATATCACAAATCCCAACTACTCCCTACTCCCTACTCCCTACTCCCACCTCCCCCCCGAGCATTCCGGGAGCCGCCTCGCAGACGGCCTCCGCACACGCGCCGCTGGGATCCGCTTCCGCCAGCGCCGTCTCCAGCACCCCAGGGGCGGCTGAGGCCTTGGGTGGCTTCCTCGCCAGAGAGCCCCGGGAGCCTAGGCATATATATATATATATAGTATATATATATATATATGTATTTATATGTGTATATATATATATATTATATTATTATATATATATATATATATATTATATTACATATTATATATATATATTATATATTATATATATATATGTGTATGTATATATATGTGGTTCTTTGCTTTTTTGAAAATAAACGTGTAGGTGTACACTTGTGAGTATAAGCACCTTTTGTATATGTAATGTGTATACATACCAATATGTATTCAGAGGTTTCAGGGGAGCTATGATTGGGTTGCGGCCGATAATGGCTAGTTGGTCACTAGTTGTCACTAGACTGCAATGCTGCATGGGTCTGAATTAGTATACGATACATGTGCATCTCATATATATATATATATACATACATACATACATACATACACATAGTTCTATATACATGTAAACATGTGTGTATGTATATATATATATATATGAGCTCATATATGTGAGCTCATTTATTCTTAGGCATACCCTCAGCCATTCTAAACGCATGATGTATTGTCTGGTCTCATCCCTAGCATCAACAGCAGCCCTTATTCCCTGATGTACAACCACAGGGTGTACATAAGCAATGGTCGAATTTCGTTGGGTTTTGGTCAGTGCCCTTTTTTCTAGCAGTCCTTCGGTGAGTGTAACCCTTGCCCATCATGATGATAATAATGACGATGACGATAAGTGTTTCCCATAAACAGAACCTTCATGGGTGAAATCGGTGGCCATCCAAAAGCTTTCAAGCTCGCTACGGCCGACGTGGGAGGGTTCGGTGGCATGGACACTGAGAGGCGATGCTTGCAGACTCAGTCCCTGAAACCAGAGCCTTCCAAGACTCAACCCCTAGAAGGCTCAATCCTAATCACACGACTCCCAAACAATGTTGGCCGCAGGGATTCCGGCATCCCGCTTTTCGAGGGCAGGGTTTTTTGTTGGGTGTACTTTGCAGACTCACTAAACACATGTAGAAAAAGGAGTCTTTTCAGGCCCAACCTTAGGTCCCCTGGAAAAAAAAAGAAGTCCAGTGATAGATGTTCCGTAAAACCAACAGGGGACGAAAACAAGTAATTCTCAAAGTGGAAGACAAAAGCCCTGCGCTTGCCTTCCGCGGCGCCAAGCTCCCCTCTGAGGCCCCTGGCCACCCAGCCGCGCTTGTAGGCCACCGGCGGCATCGATAGGGAAGGACTCTCCGAGTCCGGAGGGTGGCTGAAACCGGGCTTTGGTTAGATTCCCTTTAAGGCACACCAGGTTCGTGGATTCCCTGAGGAATAACACCAGGTGGATGGTGGATTCCCTTTGAGGCACACCAGGTGGAGGGTTCTTGGGGTCCTTCCATTTCTCATTCCCTGCGGAGAACCAGCAAGCAAAGTGCCCGCTCCAAACCGATGGAAGTCATACTTGTCTGTTTTCAACGGGCGCTTTTTTTGATGTGGGGCAAACAGGGAAATGCGTTCAAGATGTTGCCGAGATGCTTCCCTCCTGGAAATGGCGGTCGATTGCGAATCTGCAGGTGGGGACGCTGGCCTCGTCCCAGAGTTGGCGGCTGGTTTACTTGCAGGCGAGTGATATCCTCAAAGTCACCCTCTGGCATGATGGCTGTTGGAGGAAGCCACGGCAAGACTCTGGACATTGGTGCTCTAAAGCACAGAATCCACGCTGGGACGACTTGGTACTTTGGGTGGAGCATTTGCAGTCTTTCCGGCTTCCGGCTGGTCCCCTCTTTGGAGGAATGAGCCTCCGTCCGAAAGCAGAAGAGCGGTCGCATTCAGAAACCTGCCCGAGCTCAATGTCTCACACCTAGGAAACAATCTTCTGGGGGAATGAGTCAATTGATTCAAACAAAACGGGGGTGCAGGGCGAGCCGGTTCGAAACGGGTGGAAACTCGTGCAGGGATCCTGCTACGATTGGGCCATGGCGATACATCACACAGGTCGGAGCTGCCCCAGGCAATTGAAGGTGTGCACTTGAAACGAACCTGGGTAGGCTTTGATACTCAAGCAGCGCATGCTTAACACATCCAAGCATGTGGGGTAGGCAAGGCTGGGGAGGTGCGTTGAATCCTGAGATTTCCAGTAAAAGGAACCCAGAATTGACGAAGCCCTGCTTGATCAACAGTGTCCCTTTGCTTTGGGAGCGAATCCTTCACCTTTGGAAACACCCCAAATAGCCTCCTTTTGATTCTGGCCCATATTTAGCGAACCTATTTGGTGGCCTTACATTAGAAAAACATATTTGTCCACCCACATGGAACCTCACTGGAAGATCAGCTTCAGGCTTTCCCCCCTCGCACATCCTGCTATGCGGGCGTGTCTCAAAAAAAGGAGGCCCCTTTCGCCACTAAGGTTGGTCGTCCTTATAAAAGTACAACGTCCAGGAGCTCGAGTGAGGAAACCATCCAAAAGGGGGTCGCTTAGTTGGCAGTGGGTCAAAACCAATGGTACCATTTTGGGGTAGGTGCACCACCCATTTTAGTCTATTTTAGTGGGGATTGGGATGTTCACCGGGGGTACGATTTGGATTTTGACCCATGGCCATTTTGAGAACCCCCCCCCCCCGCCGGAAGTTGGCCTGTGGCACGGAGCCCCATCACCGCCACCATCGCCAGCAGCGGCGCCGCCGAGGGCCCGCTCTTCGGGGGTGCCTGAACCGAGCTCAGCTCGTGCGAAGCTGCCCGCGGGAGGGGGTGGGGGGTCTCCTGCGCCGAAAAACGGGAACCCAAGCCCCCCCACCCTCAGACCCTCGGTGACCATGAGAAAAACGGGCACCCGGTCCTTGCGGTCTGCACAACCCTCAAAACCCTGGGCTGAGAATACCGCGCTCATGGAACCCAGGCTCCCTGGTCCAACTCACACTGCGACCTGGCTTCCCATGCACCCAACACCAAACTTCGGCCTTTCTTCTTCATTTGGGTCTGAGTCTAGATGGGTCCTGGACCTGGTGGACATCATTTAGGTGGGGATTCATGTCCACCGACCAGTCTTGAGATGGTTCCCTGTTAAATGTCATTGCCATTGCTTGCTGGCTTTCCTTTATCTTCTTGGTTTGAACCCCATCCTACCTTTGTCTTTGCTCACATGCCACCTTGATATTTATGCCAGTTGGGGAGACACCCACACAAACTGGGCGCCAAATATGGAAGGGGGCACAGCCTTTGGGCTTCTTTTGGGTGAAACTGAACACTTCGGTGATATTTACCACTTATCAAGGTCCTGGATGTTTAGTTGCAAACCCTCTTCAGATTGGTTGCCAGGGAAAACTCAAGCAATGGAAAGGGGGGGTTCCTTGGACCCAACCCAGGAGCCTGGGGGTTGTCCAGCATCACCAGGCGGCAGGCCGCGGCTCCCATCAGCACCTGCGACGGTCTTGGGCTTTGAATCTGTTGTCGCCTGGACCCAGCTTGGGACGTAATTACCAAAGGGTGTTCAAAACGAGAAAAAACAAAAACAAAAACAGACTCGTGTTTTCCACAGTATCTCCTTCAGTCCTTTGGCTGAGCCCTGTTGAGTTGGTCTAAAGCCCACAGGTGTTCATGGAACACGGCATGGTGCTTCAGTGTGAAACGTTGACACGACAAACCGTGTAAACCGCAATGAAGTAGTCAATCCTTTTGCCTTGGGCTCTCAACGTGAACCCTTTCTCGACGCATGCGTGCTTGGTGTTTCATTTACAGGGATCTTGCCTGGGGGGGGGGGACAAATTGTTTGAGCCGACCGCCCAACATTTTTCCCTCGGCCAGAAATGACCGCCCCGGACGATCGTGGCCATTTGCGTGAAAGCCCCTCCATGAGTAGCCGGTCGTGGAGGGACGACCTTTACCTGTGCGGGGGGGGGGGGGGGATCTCGGGGCGGCTTTCAGGGGAGACCAGAAGGAGCGCTTCCCAATTGTGAGAAACGTCCTGATTGGCTGATTGGGGTGGGAAGATTGGAGCCCAACAGGCCAACCTGTTGAGAAGTTTGTAGATGTTTAACCGATCTAACTGAGAAATCGTCGACTTTTTCTGGGGGAAGGAAGCCCGGTGTGGGACTCCTGCTACAAGTAGTCTTCGGATTTCGCTGGAAGTGAGGGAGCTGTCGCTGGAAGTGAGGGAGCTGTCAGTTCCAAAGCCAGAGTCCCATTCCCGTGTGATACCAGAAGTGTATGTATGAGTGTGTGGGTGCATTTTAAGGGGAAGCCATGACCACTCTCATAGACTACTTGCTCAGTAACCTGCACATCCAAGTGTCCCGCTTGCCCTCCAAGCCCCGGCGCCCCTTTTCACCGGCTTTCCAGATGGAGCAGGCACCGCTCGCTGACTAAGGGCTGCATGCAAACATGTGGCTATTGGAACCCTCATGGGGAGCGACACGGGAGTCGGGAACCCTGAGGTTTCTGACGGCTACGGTTCAATGGGGCCGTAGGGAGTTTTGGGGAAGCCCAGGTGATCTTCCCCCCGAAAAACCACACACACACACACACACACGCGCACTGGTTAGCAACCTCCATACTCGGGGGGGGTAGTGTCTTTTTTGAGTCTCGATATGCCGGGGGGTTGGTTCTGTTTCAGGGACATCAATCTTCAGGAAAACGAGGGTTTGTGGAGACAAACCCGTCAGAATTCAGTGATTTTCCATTTCCCGCTGAATAAGCAAGGGGCCTTTTCCTTCTTTTCCCCTCCCCAATAAAACGCTGCGTCGAACAGACACTGCGCGCTATCGCAAAGGCAAAAAGCAAGGGAACCATTAATTGTAAGCTGAACCGAACAGGTGAAGGTTGGGCACTACCTTGGATCCACTACGGTTGATTGCCGTGGCCAGGACTTTCCAGCTGCTGTTTTGGGTGTCCAAAGGTCCGGGACCCGGAATTCCGCACAACCCAGAAACGCTGAAAACAAGTCTCCTAGCAATTCAGGATGACTTACCCATCTCTGATCTTTGTCTCATACATGTGATCTGTGTAAACGGACATGTGTGTCTTGCGGATCTGTCCAGAAATCTTGACCAAATCCTCAAAGTTTGCGGATTGATCAAGCCCAGAGTCAGCAAATACTGTGCCCTGGCTCTCACCAAATGGGATGCCGGCACCCTGTGTGCATCATGGCTCTCGCGAGACTCATTCACCTGCCAAAACCTCAGGAGCTGTGGTGTAAGGCCCAAGCCCCTTCATCGGAAGCAGAGTGAGGGATGGCCAATTGTAGGGGTCTGCTCAAACAGTATACCACACAAAGCCCCCAAAAAACTCAAGGGGTGGTAAGATGCGCCCAAATTCGGCTATAGGTTGCGACCATTTCCAATGCACTGGGTCGGCCTGAATGTCGTGCGACACATCACCTTTGACCATCCCGAGTCTTCACGCAAGCGCCGGGGAAAGGAGCTCAGCGCCTCCCCTTCCGTCCGCGCGTCCTCGGCGTGTCAGCGTCGCGGAAATCGCTTTGTTCTTCTCTGGGGGCAGAAGTAAAAGAAGTTCCAGGCTGAGATAGGCTCAGCTTTTGCCACCCAAAGAATCAGCTAGTTGACTACGGCGTCTGTTTCTTGATGCCGGCCCCATATTGAGCCAGCCTTACCCTTGTCCGAGTTCGAAATAATCCCAGGAGTGGACCTTCCAAACTCCACGGTGAGTCAGGGTGTATTAAGCTTGTCTTTGGTGATTGGGCTCAAAGCCAATGACCTTTTGCACACTCAATGGAACATCAACTAGCTGTCAAAAGATCTTAGTCTTAGGGGCGAGCCACCAAAGACCAGCCAAATACACCCGGACTCGCCGTGGGCTTTGAGCCCAAAGCCCAACTGGTTTTGACACCCTTACAGGCAGCCAAAAACCGGTTGATTCCACAAATATTGCAGGTGGACCAACCACCTCCAACCACAAAGCTGGGGAATGTTGCACCAAATCACCAGGCTTCCCTTGCTCCCTCCTCGCAGTGTATAGGCCATCCACCATGGCCAGCTTGCAGTCGAGCTGCTTTGCGTCTCTTTCTGAAGCCGTCGCTCAGCTTTTGGCGATGAGATCCTTTTCCTGTCGTGCGCTCAGGGAGCCAAGTCAACACACTGCCACACCGACACAGGTACACGCCCGATTATCCCATTATCCAATTCACTCATGTTTGTAACTCAGATTTTCCCTAACTATTCCAATCACGCGATAACCATGGCAACTGCCCACTATTCGTTACTAACTCAGCTATCCAATCACATTGAACATATGTTTTGCCGAAGAAATACGTCTGCAAGAGTCCCTGC